ACATGGAAACTATGCAGACTTCTTACCTTACGGTCTGTTAACACATACATATGTTACATTTTGTAACTAGGCATACCCAAGTGAAATGCCACCCCCTTGTAACAAACGCCCAAAATATACAGCGACCATAGGTTTCGTTCGACGGACAGGTTATCATTTACTTTATAGATTTCGTCAGAATGAGAACACGTGTGAGCTTTGTGCCATTTGAACGAATCCTTGCAACGTTATATAAATAACAAAATAAAATATACACAACACTAGTGCATGGAAAGTTAGGTTTATAAACTCTCGCTCGATCGTGCGCTCCGAGCATTTTCAGGAATTAATCCAGGTTTCCTTGGCAACCTAGAGTTCCACCGGATGTTCGCCCGCCCGCTCATACAGTACTGAACAGCATAGTTGTGAAAGCGGCTGCCTCTAGCGAGCTTGAAAAAATTCAACACATCTTCGACCTCCTCAATTTTCATCGTAAAGGTTTTCATTTTTGCTATAAATTAATAATATTATTACGAAATGTTAAGGAAAATTTGCTTGATATTAGTGAAAGATTTGTTTAATTTATACATTTTAGTTTAAGAAGACAGATTTATGTAGAAATAATATTAATATAAAGAAAATTCAGAATTAGATTATAAATTAAAAAGTGGTTTTGCTAAAGCTTATTACAGATTGAATAAATATTTTGATGATAGAGGAGTATGATGGAATAATGGTATTACAGTTCAACACAAAGCTGTGTAAATTTGTGACTTTATTTTTATGTTAACCTGGATAAAGTGATCAATTTATAATATTATTATTAATATTGATATATTAATAATTACAGCATTTGTAACTTCTAATACTATTCTTCCTACTTTATTAAGCTTCGTGATCCTGGTTATATTTTATTATCTTTTAAACGGCTCGCACTTATTGAAATAATATAAACTTTCTGATCGTTTTGGTATTTAATATTCACACTTAGTCTTTATTTAAAATTTTAGACATAATCGAACGAGTTTAAGATTAAAAGTGCCTTCTTTCATCAATTACTTATTTTAGCAAATGTTCTAATATTAATTTACGTTATTGGAACAACTACATTATGCTGGCAATTGCTAAATTAAATTATGGTATTACATATCTTAACATCAGTGTACTAAATTTGTATTATTTAGAGAATATCATCATCATCAATATAGATTATCTAAGTCCATTGCTAAACATGTGACCCCCATAGTTTGGCTTACAGGAAGTATACTTGTCACGCTATAACATGGGGGTTTCTATCCCCAGTTTTTTCATTATTATCTGTTGTTATCAGAAAGATTCTGCCCATCTTCCGTTTCATTTCTCTTTGCCGCCAATTACGTCACCCGCGGAATGATGTGGGGTAGTGGATTCTCTCTGGCACCACACGGCGAAGAAAATTATATATTGATTTTATTTTGTCCGTTGCTTGTAATCTTTTTATGTTTCACCGCTTTATCGCAAATCTGGTCCGTATTCTATAGAAGCCAACATGTTTTATTGTTTGGGCTTAAATTATAATAGCTCTCTATACTTAACAAAAACATCTCAACAAAAAAAAAAAAAAATCAGTTTGCTGGTAAAAATCAACCGCTGGGCATAGGCGTATCTCATTGTGTTTGTTTTGCCGATATCATCACGATTGGCAAGCACAAGCAATATTTAGACCATTCTATTAACCAATTAATTTACAAATAATGTTTACTTAAATACGTTTAAATTTACTTTTTCACGTTTACCTTATGTGGTGTTAGGGGTTAACGTTAAAGGATTAGCACGATTCGGTCCCACAGAGTTGGTCGAGTATTTTGTATATATCCAATTCTATATATTATCTTTTTCTTTTTATATTTTTAAAAATCTAATTACATTTTATTTTTGGTGTGAGTTATCATAGTCATAATTTTTTGAATTATCGATTATTTACTAAGCATCCTAATATGGCAAAATATGAAACGAGATCCATTTCATACTGAATCCAAATTGTTTAATATATAGTATTTAAAATATTAGGATTAGATGGAATAGGTTTTTTGTTTCGACAAGTCATATTTAGTAATTGTGATTTTTATGGCACTTCGACATTTAGACTGTAAATTTTCATATAAGAAGTAAAAACGAGTATATATGTGTTGCATTAAGATGGCTGAAGACGTGATATAGTTATCACTAGGGATATAATTATATACCGTAACATAGTTATATCACAGTGACTCATAACTGTCGTACTAGGAATATATGATACGAGGATGGTCTAATAATATAACTATGCTACTATTTTTTTTATAGGATAGGGGTGACAAACGAGCACACAGTCCACTTGATGGCAGGTGGATGCTGTTGGACATAGACATCTACATTGAACCTCAATTAAGAATCAAAATGCAGATGCGTTGTCACCCTTGAGGACTAAGATGCAATGCCTCGATTCCAGTAAAACGGGTCACCGGTTCTCTACACTCACCATATGAAACACATGTGAGAGCGTGGTCCTACCACGGTCGAGCCGACCCACTCATGCTACAACCATAATATAGCTGCAGCGTGGCTCTACCACGTATAAAAGTTATATACTAGACCAATCTGGTGAAATAAATGTAATTGTAAACTGAATGTACAGGAAGGAGCACACTTGTGTTGCTCGTGTAGACAAAATGTTCATGTTATTTGTAATATATAGTTATATCGGAAAGGTTCGGATCGCAACTGTTCTGCAATTTTTGCAACAACTAAAACAATATTTTGGACCAAAGAGATAAATCTGTACATAACTTAAAAAGAGCTTCTGAAATAATGAAAAAAGAGCTTCATCAAACTCAACATTAACGTAGAATCTTTAGTTCCTATTGTGTTGTTGTTCAGGTTTCTCTAAAAAATCCAAGAAGTTCATTATTTGAATTCGACGCCCGGTTACGCTACCAGAGACTATTCATTATATAAATTTTTCTATTTCTTAAAAAAATCTCCAAATTCTTCGCATAGCATAGATCATGTCAGGAATTGCTAATCTATCTGTTCGTCAAGTTTAATTACAATCGGTTCAGCCGTTCATAAGATTAGTCCGGTCTGATAGACAGACAGACAAACATTTAAAAATTAGTTTTTCATTTCTCAATGTATCGTACAAATAACTCCCTCAGCTCAATACAAGGCAGTTATTGCGGACAGACGCATCAATTTTATTTATATGTATATATTTATTCGTCTTCATCATCATCATTACAGCCCTTCAAAAGTCCAATGCTGAACATAGTCCTCCTCCAAAAAATTTAAAGATTATTATTGATCATTAAATCAGTTCCTTATAAAACATACGTGTGTGACGATCGTGGGTACTTATTTCGGGTTCGGACTATACTAAATAATATTAAATATTATATTTAAAAAATAAGAAATTTGCAACCATAGTAATATGAAGAAGGAAACAAGTTGAGATCAATATCATGAAATTCTAGATACAAAGGCAACTGCTAGTAATCTCTGTTTTAAGAAGTACTTGCGTACATCCTTTTTATTGAATTGAAAATAAGCAACAAAACCTAAATTTACAATAATGCTAATACCTACTATCTCAAAAGAAATTAGTAAATTACTTGATTGATTGAGATTTTAAAAATACATTTACCTAAAGTGTATGGATTTTTCATTTTCACGGATAATTGTATGCCTCGGTGGTAAACTGCCATTGCAATAGAGTTATCCAATTACATTTATACTATCAATACATATATCATTACAATACATTTATATTATAATTACGTATTCTGATGAGTAAAATGGTAATTATGAATGCATAACTAATAATTAAATAACTATAAAAGCTCGTCTTCATAAATGTTTCTTAAATACATTACACAAAAAGGTTTCCAGAAAAACTTATTTTTCAAGCACAGACATGATAATCCAACCTCGCAGAGTCTAGGCGGCCAGGTCGGGGGATAAAACTGTAAACGAAATTATTAAATGTGTTCTCAATCAGACCTAAAAAATAATAAGCCGTTTCGTTTGATATAAGTTTACATGGTTTCAATATGGAATCTCTGCATGTTCTTTTTTCTTCTTTTTTAAAAAAACGTTACCCCTACTCTAGGATTTTCTCCTGTATCGTGGGGGCAGTTTACACACATAAATTGCACAAGGACAAACATCCAGACCCGGAACAATTATTGGTAGGCCATACAAATACTTGTTCTGTGCGGGATTCGAACCCGCGACCCCCAAGCGCAGCCACTCATTGCTAAGCCACTGCGCCACGGAGTCGTCAAATGTTACAAGTTTAAATATCGATTTGGAGTTATTTTATGCTTTATTTTTAACCCTCTCAGAAATGAGAGGAGACCTGTGCCCAGTTGTGGGCTTGTGGGACTTATATAAGCTTAACCGTAACTTTTTATTTTTTATAAACCAATTATTACGATTCGCGTTTTAGCCTTAACATGCTATTTGTATGCTCAATTAATATAGTTATAAGGATTTTGCTTTAGCACAATAATTACATTTTCGTAGATTTATAGATCTAAAAAGGTATAAAGTGCAACTTTGCCTTAAGTCCTTCCCTTTTTAGCCTTCTGTCTAGCTGACTATGACACTTTTCCGGTAAAGTCCGGTAGAGTAGTCACGGTTAAAATAATACATATAATAATTCTGTCTGTGTATTCACGATTCACGCAAAAACTTCTGGACGGGTTTTCATGAGATTTATGCATAGGTAGTTAGGGACCCCGGGCGACTTAAAGGCTACTTTTTATCCGATTATTGAACTTGAAAAATGAGGGTTAAGTATTTCCGGGGTGTCGTAGGTATACCGGAATTACGTTTGTGTTGTTGTTATTAGAAATAGCTCATCAGGTACATTTAATTTTTGGTGACTAACTATAGATCATTTTCAGGTATTATTGATGAGCCAGAGGCTGCATCAAGCTGGCTGTGACTGCGCGTTTGCACTGTGAAATCGTTTGTAGTGATAATTTGCGTATTGGCCACAGCGAGGAGAAGGCGCCACGTGTGGGCCTGCGTACACCCGGGGGCGGGCGCTCTGCGCCGCCCCACAACTACATATTACGTAAGTACTTATATACTGCATGCACACATACGCCTTCGCCTGCGTCTCTATTGTGATTCGATTACCTGAACCCGGATGTTCTGTTACCTGACTCGCAAACGCAATTTGTAATTTTTTTATTTTTCAATAAAATATTTAAAATATTTTTCAATAAACGAATACGATTTGTTGCAACCCCAGACATGAATTATTTTTTAAATTTGTGTTTCCCTTTGTTCGAATTATTATGATTTCTTTTAAATGTTTTGTCTGTACGTCTTTCAACGTACTATTACATATTTTGGGATTAAGTTTTCTATTTTTTGTCTATTTAAGGCATTGCGAACGCTTTAACCTGTTCCGCTAAGTTGCGCTCCATTCCTTTCATTAAATTTCATTATTTTTTCATCTTTACATTGATTTTATTTTTCTGCAACCGTGCTTGCTCACCTCTTGTGTATTTATTTGTTTTATTTAATTTTACAACATATTAATGCCGAGCGAATGCCAAGCTTTCAAATTCTTAAGTAGTTTTGTTACGAAATTATTAATACATTTAGGGTAAATTAACCATAATGATAACCTGTAAATAGCTGTAGCGGGTAGCTGGAAGTCGTCAGGATATTTCTTGAGTTCCTAGAAACTACATAAATATTAGAAAAGTAATGAATGCTGGGCGCTTGACAAAGTATGGTCTTAATTCTTAAAAATATTTGAGTATTTTTTCCCAATTCAAAACATCTTTTAATAAATGTGTTCATTATTTTAATAACATAAAAGCAGTTTATGGGCGTATAAGTACGCGCGTCCTTGTTATATTTTTGTATTCAAACAATTTTCACGTGAGTTACGTTTACGTTTTTAGTATAATTTTTTTAAAAATTTGTTAAAAAATATATTCTAAATATATATAAATTACGTGTCACGTTGTTTGTTCGCGATAAACTCCTAAACTACTTAATATCGATTTTAATCAAATTGCACACCGTGTGCAGTTTGGCCCAACTTGAGAGATAGGATAGATTTTTTTGCCCATGAGTGACCCACAATTTTGTTTTGCGAATTGAAGGATTTTTAATAGGACATGACAAAGGGTTGTCGAAAAGGGCAGAACAACGTCTGCCTGGCAAGTTAGTATATTTATAATAAGTTTTGTAAAATAACTATATCTGTATTTTTTTTAATTGAAGCGTCTGATGATAAGTCTGTTGTACAGTCCATGGGCACCTGTAGCCTTCTTTGTTTGAACATGGCGCGCCGTCACTGCTGAAAAATAAGATGGAGTGTCCCGCGGCCTGAAATTATACTGGTTTCCTATATACCGTTCAGGCTGGAACACAGCGGCACAATCACTGCTATTTGCTATATCAGTGTAATTAATTCACAAAGCAAATTTAAGTCCCATTGCCCATTCCTTAATATTTATGTATTGTGTTTTAAATACTAGCTGATATACTATGGATGAAAAAAAATCAATGAAAGTTCTTTTTTCTATACCGCTAAGCAATTTGGCGAATTTTTATATAATAAGAATGATAAACGAGCACTCAGCCACATCTACATCTATCCTAGATTAAGAATCCAAAATGCAGATGCGTTGGCAGCCTAGAACACTAAAATGGAATGCCTCGTATCCAGTAAAAAGGGTCCCTGATTCTCAACACTCACCATACGAAACACAGCAGCATTGAGCTGCTAGTTTAAGCTTGTATTCTGTTAGGTTCTTTCCTGGTTGAGCCGACCCATTCGTGCTACAACCGTAATATAGCTGCAACATGGCTTAATAGTGTATAAAAGAAACTACAAAATGTAGTCCGAAACAAAACGTGAGCAATACTACATTAAATTTTATATTCACATAATATGATTTTAGCCTAATGGGGCTGAGTGCGGACCGCGAATTCAAAAGGTTGTGGGTTCGATTCCACCATTCGACTACTGTCTTGAACCACTCCGAACACAAGCATTTCCTCATAGGCAAGATATTTAACATAGTTACACCACCCTTGGGGGGTACGGAGGAATATAGTAGCTCTTGCATTATATAAAGATTTTAAATCATTAATCAAGATAAAAATGTGCTTAATAAGACTAAGTTTAAGTTAATAAATTTAAACTTTGGGAATTGTTGTAGTAACTCTGATATTTGGAAGTACCGATGTCAACAATAATAAGTGAACGTCACGTTTTATAATCAGAGTTCTGTTACAGCCGTACACAAGTCCACTGCCGAATATAAGCTTAACACAATTACCTCATAGGAGCATGTTACCTAAGTTGCGGCGGTTTGTAATCGCAGTTTTTTTTTAATTTTAGTCGTTACTAAGACGACACTGCTGCCCATCTCCTAATTTGTTTCCTCCTGTCGCCTGTTACGACATTCAAGTGTTGATATGGGGTATTGGATATTCTAACACCGCCACTACGTGGTAATAAAGTATATTGTGACATTGCAGATTTTATATAACGATTTAAATATTCCATAATTATTATACTGTAATATTCACATACGTAATAAAACATATTATATGTGTGAAATACACACGATCCAAGTTAATTAAAAAGCCTTTTGATAGCAAGAGGTCCGGGCGGAAATAATGTGGGGGAAGGGAGGCTTCTCAGAGAGGACTGGTAGTGATAGTGATGTATTCCGTTTTCTGAATAAATACTGAATGCACCTCGTATGCATATACGGGACGATCTCTGAATGTACCCAATATCGGCGCAATTAATGAGGTTCATGACCACCAGGAGTTTCGATTTGCCTATGCATAAAGATGGATTTTCAAGTAGTGTAAATGTTACTATGATATTAACGTATAATAACTTAAATTTGGAAGTTGCCGTATTGAATCGAATTTATCTACTTTATCGCATTTGTGGAAAGAAACATTTGCAAGAAGCTTAACACAAAACACGTTTCTTTGTCACTTGTTGATAACGGGTTTTGTGATACTCCTTGGTTTATGTTCAGCTGTGGGCTTGTGAAGGTCTGTAATGATAATATTAATTGCACTTGTGGCTTTTGGGATAAGATACAATCAGGGTGCAAGAATAATTATTTAAAAACATAAGTTACCTTATAGGTGTATTTTCCGAAATCAGCGTTAAATAAGGTCGCGAAGTCATATTTCATCGTTACATTTATTTACACTTCTTATACTGAAATTAATTCCACTAACACTTAAAACTTTTTGGTCCAGATACCCACCAGATGGTTTATTGACATCGGGAAATACTAAGCATGATGTAGACTTGGAACCGCACATCATCGCACCTGACCCAGTCGCATCAGACAATTGTTTAGATGAATTTTCTCCGGTACATAAGTTCCTGTTGAACACGTAAGTACTTAGACGTTAATGACATTTTTAAATTAGCGTACATTTTTAAAATTTTTCTGTATGAGGAACTGTAATTCCAAGTTTGAGTTTTAGCGCTTAGCTTATTTGTAGGCAAGTTCATACGGTCACGTGACTGGCTATATCTTATCCAAAGCTCGGGAAGTTTTTTAAGATCATTCAATGAAAATGATAACGAATTTCAGTTTTTTCTGATTTCTTGTTGTTGCCCAGCGAATAGCGTATCACTCGCAATTATTTGACTATCCAACTACTATAGTCAATGCTGCTTTTCATGTGTCTTTGATACTGCGTTTGACAATCATGTTATGGTATAGGCACACACCACTTGTTGGTTCTTTACACTTTGCGTGTATTGTTTAGTACTAACGCTCTTCTTTCTTCTTCTTTTTTATTTTAGCCGATTTCAAAAAAGGAGGCATATAAATTTGCAGAAAAAATTCCATTATAAATAAAGTTTTTAATGTAACTGTTCAGGCGACAATGAGAATTGTGCATATTTCTTAGTCAATGCTAACTAAGCCACAGTGCAGTGTGTAGAAAGTGTATAGAAAAATTAAATCACCGACTTCAGAATGTGAAATTATTTTATTGTTTTTAATTTTTTAATTCGGGTTTTTTCTTTTTTGTTAAAATTCATTTTAATATTGTTACTTAATAATTATACATTCATTTAATTTATTGCAATTAATGAACTATCTTTGCTAAGATTTTTTAAAAATTATATACATGATTTAAACGTTTGCATTCATTATGCTATAATATTTAAATTATTAAAATACATCAAAACATAAAAGTTTAATTTTGAAATGAAAATATAAAGTAATGTAAAAACCTTTTAAGGGCGGCTATTAATTAATAGTTAATAATAATCAGTTAAATCACCCATGATATTTATATAACGCGTCTGCATCGGTTGAGCATACTCAGAATGATCAATATCCTGTTGAAGAATATTGGCCTAGGTCCTACTGAGATGCTTAAAAAGCTGTTCTTCTGTACCGGCTAGCAGGCACACAGCTGTCGCCGCGTGGACAGCTGGGTGCCTGCTAGCTGTCGCCGCGTGGACTGCTGGGTGCCAGCTAGCTGTCGCCTTAGTTCAAGGCGGTATTGGGTAGGAGCGGTGTTGGAGCAGATTCGTGTAAGTGGGCTATGACTCTAATATGGAATGCTGCAGAGGCTTAAATTATAATAGCTCTCTATACTTAATAAAAACATCTCAACAAAAAAAAAAACATAGTTTGCTGGTAAAAATCAACCGCTGGGAATAGGCGTATCTCATTGTGTTTGTTTTGCCGATATCATCACGATTGGCAAGCACAAGCACATTAGAAATAACAGTCTTAAATGTTTCATAAAGTACCTTTTGACTCTGCTCCAACCGATGACTATTCTGTGCATTTTATATCCGGCGCAAGCAATGTTTTAACATCTTTAACATCGAAGATTATAACAACTTTCTGAGCATTCGCTATATTTCTCTCTTAAGAAATATATCTTGCAAAATGGCGGAATGAAGACAGGAGTATTTAATAAATTACGTATTTGGATTAGGTATTTTTCGACGCTAGTTAGCACAAAATCCAAGTCAAGAATTAGTTGTGCTTAGGTTTAACCGAATATGGCTGCAATATTTAGACCATTCTATTAACCAATTAATTTACAAACAATGTTTACTTAAATACGTTTAAATTTACTTTTTCACGTTTACCTTATGTGGTGTTAGGGGTTAACGTTAAAGGATTAGTACGATTCGGTTCCACAGAGTTTTGGTCGAGTATTTTGTATATATCCAATTCTATATATTATCTTTTTCTTTTTATATTTTTAAAAATCTAATTACATTTTGTTTTTGGTGTGAGTTATAATAGTCATAATATTTTGAATTATCGATTATTTATTTACTAAGCATCCTAATATGGCAAAATAGGAAACGAGATCCATTTCATACTGAATCCAAATTGTTTATTTATTATATAGTATTTAAAATATTATGATTAGATGAAATAGGTTTTTTGTTTCGACAAGTCATATTTAGTAATTGTGATTTTTATGGCACTTCGACATTTAGACTGTAAATTTTCATATAAGAAGTAAAAACGAGTATATATGTGTTGCATTAAGATGGCTGAAGACGTGATCTAGTTATCACTAGGGATATAATTATATACCGTAACATAGTTATATCACATTGACTCATAACTGTCTTACTAGGAATATATGATACGAGCATGGTCTAATAATATAACTATGCTACTATTTTTTTATAGGATAAGGGTGACAAACGAGCACACAGTCCACTTGATGGCAGGTGGATGCTGTTGGACATAGACATCTACATTGAACCTCAATTAAGAATCAAAATGCAGATGCGTTGTCACCCTTGAGGACTAAGATGCAATGCCTCGATTCCAGTAAAACGGGTCACCTGTTCTCTACACTCACCATACGAAACACATGTGAGAGCATGGTCCTACCACGGTCGAGCCGACCCATTCTTGCCACAACCATAATATAGCTGCAGCGTGGCTCTACCACGTATAAAAGTTATATACTAGACCAATCTGGTGAAATAAATGTAATTGTAAACTGAATGTACAGGAAGGAGCACACTTGTGTTGCTCGTGTAGACAAAATGTTCATGTTATTTGTAATATATAGTTATGTCGGAAAGGTTCGGATCGCAACTGTTCTGCATTTTTTGCAACAACTAAAACAATATTCTGGACCAAAGAGATAAATCTGTACATAACTTAAAAAGAGCTTCTGAAATAATGAAAAAAGAGCTTCATCAAACTCAACATTAACGTAGAATCTTTAGTTCCTATTGTGTTATTGTTCAGATTTCTCTAAAAAATCCAAGAAGTTCATTATTTGAATTCAACGCCCGGTTACGCTACCAGAGACTATTCATTAAATAAATTTTTCTATTTCTTAAAAAAATCTCCAAATTCTTCGCATAGCCTAGATCATGTCAGGAATTGCTAATCCATCTGTTCGTCAAGTTTAATTACAATCGGTTCAGCCGTTCATAAGATTAGTTCGGTCTGATGGACAGACAGACAAACATTTAAAAATTAGTTTTTCATTTCTCAATGTATCGTGCAAATAACTCCTTCTTTGCACGATACATTGAGAATCTTTAGTTCCTATTGTGTTGTTGTTCAGATTTCTCTAAAAAATCCAAGAAGTTCATTATTTGAATTAATTATAACATTGCTTATTTTAGTTACAATTATAACATTGCTTATTTTAGTTGTGACGATTAAGTAATAAAAAAGATATTTTATTGGTTCATTTTATTTAAAATGAGTATGCAGTTCTGCAAATTAAAGAAAATATTATAGTCTAAAATAGTATATGCTAGATCGTGCTCGTATCCCAGTTATATTCCTTGTAAGACAGTTATGAACCACTTTGATTTAAACATTATGGTATAACTGTATCCATAGGGATATAACTATATCACGGCTTCAACCATATTACTACGACATAAGCATACCATCGTTTTGGCCACAGGCCTTCTATCATTTCTGACAGGGTTTTGCAGTCAATCTGACACCACGCTAGACACTACCAACGCTCAATTTTCAAAGGAAAAAAGGGCGTTTTTATAATCCACAGGCGCAAAACTAAGGGGTAGATAGCATTAACAATTACTATAGCTGTAATTAAAACGGTATAAAGAATAAATTATATGGAAAATTATTATCTAGGGCTTCCAATTATTAAGGTATGCATATTGTAATGCTTATTGCATTTGTATAGGTATGAATTGTAAAGGTTTTTTTTTGTGTGAAATCTGTGAAATACATAGGTGTATGGAGAGAAAGACTGGAAATGGCTAGAATATTATGTTTAGTGCCTGGTTTCTGAAATTTGCAGTAATATTGTTACTAGCTATTGATTCAATTAAGTTATGTATAAGATAAACGTCGGTTAACTGTCACGCTTTTGAATACACAACGAATTGTTCAATAACTATCTAACGGTTAACCATTTCCATACTCTGCCGCTAGATCGATTTTATTAAGGGCCGATTCGACCAAACTTGTATAATGATTTCTTATATTTACGCGAACACTACACATGATTAAAACTACTTTTACGGATTTTATCGCGTTTATTTTTGCTTTTAGTTACTTTTATTTTTTTATTTTTTTTTATTCCCGACGTTTCGGGCGCTTTCCAGCACCCATGGTCACGGGGGACTGAGATGACTGACGTTCCCGATGTCATTGTTAAACCCGGAGTACCTTCAGCTTTTTTAATTATTGTTTATGGTCCGATCTATGCAAAATGAACTGACTATGTCTTGAGGTCTTGCAGTGGTATGCTTGGGTTTAGTTTTAATTTTATTGATTATAGGATCCCAAGCAGGTGGTAGTACCCAGCCTCCTTCTCTATTGAAATTCGGATGTTTTTTAATTTCAATAGCCTCACGTATCATCCTTGGTAGGAATCGGTGTTCTTTCGCGAGGATTTGTGGTTCTATCAAATCTTATGTAATGGTTGGGGCCGTCCAGGATATGATCACAAACTGCAGACTTCCCGGAACGTTGACCATAAACGGACCATAAACAATAATTAAAAAAGCTGAAGGTACTCCGGGTTTAACAATGACATCGGGACGTCAGTCATCTCAGTCCCCCGTGACCATGGGTGCTGGAAAGCGCCCGAAACGTCGGGAATTAAAAATAAAAGTAATTAAAAGCAGAAATAAACGCGATAAAATCCGTAAAAGTAGTTTTAATCAAACTTGTATAAGTTTTCCTTCGAATAAAATCACTAATCACTCTAGATTTAGAGCATTTTTTATTTTACCAAATACTAACCCAGAAATAACTCTATTCGAGAGAAAATCGCAAATTTCAAAAAATTCATGGAGTAAAGCCCAGATTAAATTAACGGCGGACACTACATTTTGACAGTTGTTTTCGTATGCTTTGTTGAAAAAGTTGTTTGGCTTCGTGTATTTATTA